CAACTTCGGTGTAGGAGACCAGTCTGTGTTTGACTTGTGTGCAGGCCTTCCTGAAAAAAAGAAACAATTCAATAGGACAAATGTAGAAAGTAATACCCAAAAGTTGAACTTGTGTTATGGAATATTTTCATTACAGACAGCATCCCACTGCTTTATTCACACAAGAGAGTAAAGGGGGACTCAAAATCAAAACAAACTGATAGTTCTAGTCTGACAATGTTGCAGTGTTCAAATATTATGTATATTAACTACAGTGTGTGTGTGTGTGTGTGTGTGTGATGCATATACTGTACATACTGTACAGTATATACAGTATATGCAACATAAACAGTGTTATACTGTATAACACACACATATTTATATTAACTATTGACAGATTTGTTTAGTAAATGCTTTAACTGATATTTACTCACATTTTAGTACAATTTTAGCTTCATGTGCGTTTTTCTCCGTTGAAATGGTAAATGGTAAATGGTAAATGGACTGTACTTATATAGCGCTTTTCTATATTATTTCAAGATACTCAAAGCGCTTTACACTACAATCTGTGCCTCATTTACCCATCCACACAGCACTAGATCTCTACAAAGCTAATTGAACAAATCATTCTAATGAGACTAATCAGAGCTTTATCACATTCATACACTGATGGGACACACATCAGAGGCTATGAGGGGTTCAGTGTCTTGCCCAGGGACACTTCGGCATGTGACTGCTGGTGGATTCTAACCCCTAAGTCCCGCACTGGAGTACGACTGCTCAAACCACTCAGCCACAGCCGCCCCGTTTATTCACCATCATTATTTTAAGTGTGCTTTAATAACTCTGGTTTAATGACGGGTCATGTTTTGTGAGCTGCTGTAATGCCATTCTTGACCCCATCTTGAAATAAAGATGTGTAAACTGTTCTCAATCATATCTAACCAGCTAAATAAAGCTTTAAATAAAATAACATGCAGCCTCCTGACAACAAACAGTCCAGGCTCATCACGGAACTAGAACCAGAACTTTGTTGATGTGAGTGTTACGGTGTGGAGGTTAGCACGTAGCATAGCATTTCTAAGCTAACCACAGTAGTAGAGACGCTAAATCATGAAGAAAAAAATAAACAGTTCCAACACACAGACAGTTATATTCTGACATTGTTCTGACATTGTTTCACAAAATAATTTATATAGAATTTTTTGTTTACCGGACAAAAAGTGATCGGAGCATGATGTCTTCGAGAGCAGATCCTTAGCCAGACTCAACGATGTTCTGCGGTGAGCTCCTTCGATGGAGGTCCTTCACATTTCCTTATTTTTGGGATTAAGTGAAAACTACGCTTTGCCCAAACCTCTACCCGGTTGTAACATCCTTTAACCCAGCACGAAACAACCATTGCAATTTACTTAAAGAACGAAAAAAAAAAAACTCGAGAAAATTAACTACCGGTAAACTGCACTGTATCTGTACCTACTGCTACAGGCAGCCTTACAACATGGAGGATGCACCGGAAATGCCCCTGATGTTACGTCACATGGGAACTATGTATTGTATTTGTCTTTTTCACATCATAATGACAATAGAAAATACACAAATGATCCTGACCAAAAATTTACATACCATAGTTTATAACACCATGTCATTTTGCATCAATGAGAGTTTGAAATCTTTTGTGAAAGTTGTGGATGAGACACGTTATTTTTGCAATTGGTGAACCTGCCCACTCTTCTTGGCAAATATCTCCAGTTCCTGTAAATTCTTGGGATGTCTTGCATGAACTGCATTTTTTAGATCTCTCCAAAGAAGATATTGAGGTCAGGAGACGGAGATGTCTATTTCAGAACCTTCAATGTTTTCTGCTGTAGCCATTGACACGTTGACCTGGCCTCGTGTTTTGGATCATTGTCATGTTGGAATGTCCAAGAGATCCCATGCACAGTTTCCGAGCTGATAAGTGCAAATTTTCCTCCAGTATTTTCTGATAACATGCTGCATTCATCTTGCCATCAATTCTTGTCAAGTGCGTGCGTAGCTCACACATCTCCAAAATGTCCCCAAAACAAACAAAAAAAGAAACTGTCCAGATGACCTGACTGAAATTGGATTGTATACCTGGATTATATGCATGGACTTTGTTGGTTTTTAACTAGTTTGACATGACTGTCGACGAGGAAGAGGGCTGGAACCGGAGGAGGGGGCATGCCAAAGAGACCATCTTAGCATCAACATAACTGGTTTGTTCCACTTTGGAGTAAGCAGTTGGGGGAAGAATCAGTTTTGTGTTGTGTGGTTCCTTGACTGATGAAACCTTCTGGATGGAAGGTGAAACATTTCAGCACAAAAAAAAAAAAAAAAGAAACTGTCCAGATGACCTGACTGAAAATTGTTGGATTGTATACCTAGATTATTGAGCATGGACTTTGTTGGTCCCCAAAGCGTGATCCACCGCTGTGTTTCGCAGTAGGCATGGTGTTGTAAGGATTTGTGTCTTCTAGTGTATGTCTCCCTCTTGTGGTTTTTTTCAGCTCCTGGACTCCCCTGTGTTCAGTTCTGATCACACCTATTAGTAATCCCAATCACCCCAAGTGTTTCTCACTCTGTCTCGTCAGTGTTTCACTATATAAGTCTGCGTCTCATTGTTTGGTATGGCTCTTATGTTTCTGTCTTCACCCGTGTCGCCTCTTCCACGTATGTAAGTTTTGCTGCCTCGTCAGCCTCTTGTTCTTTTTAATAAATATTATTACTTGACCCTCGAGTTTCCAGAGCATCTGTCTGCATTTGGCTTCATCCACCACTAACTTCTGACAATTGTACTGTCATCATGTGCATTGTTGACTCTTCTCCAAATGTAAAGTTTATGGTTGTGGCCCAAAAGTTCAATTTTGGTCTCATCACTCCAAATAACTTGTTTCAGACTGTTTGAGGCTTTTCTCTGCGCTGTTTGGCACACTGTAAGGGGGCCGCTTTGTGGCACTGGCACAGTAATGGCTTTCTTCTGGTGTCTCGACCATGCAGCCCATATTTCTTAAAATTCTTCCTTAAGCCAAAAAGAACCCATTAGTTTCCTTTCCTTAGTTCAAGTTTCTGCCAGTGAAGCCATCTACAAGAAGGGACAGAGGCACCTGTGGCTAAGTAGTTAGAACAGTCGTCTTCCAATGCAAGAGTTGGGGGTTTGAATCCACCAGCAGTCACATGCCGAAGTGTCCCTGGGCAAGACACTGAACCCCCTCATTGCCTCCGATGTGTGTTCCATTGGTGTATGAATGTGATCTAAAGCACTGATTTAGAATCATTTGTTCACTTAGCTTTGTAGAGATAGAGTGCTGTATGAATGGGTAAATGAGGGCATAGATTGTAGTGTAAAGCACTTTGAGTATCCTGATCAGCTAGAAAGGCACTACATAAGTACAGTCCATTTACAGAGCAGACTGTACTTCTTGAGGAAGCTGAAGTCCTTCAGTGTTTGCAGCAAGATGCTGCATATCTTCTATAAGTCTTGTAGAGAGTGCTATCTCTTCTGCCATCATCTGCTGGGGGAGCAGCACCAGAGCAAGCGACTTAAAAAAGATCAACAAGCTCATAAAGAAGGCTGGCTCAGTTCTGGGGACTCTTCTAGAACTTTTGGAGATGATTGCACACAATGAGGAACATTATAGACAACCCTCAGCACCTCCTTCGTCAGACTGTTATACAACAACAGAGTGTCTTCAGTCAGAGGCTTCTTCAGATCCGCTGCAAGACAGACCACAACAAGAGAACCTTCCTGCCCACAGCCATCAGCATCTAGAGCAACTCTTTAATGAAACCAGGATGATGAGTTACATTTAATTTCCCTTTGTGCATCTCGAAACATCCACACCATGTTTTTTTCAGAAGGTCCTGTATGTCAGCTGAAGTTATTTGTGTGTTTTTGTTTGCATCACGAACAACCTCCTTGGCAGTTGTGGTTGAAATTCTTGTTGGTCTACTTGACTGTGGCTTGCTTTCAACAGAATCTCTCATTTTCTACTTCTTAGTTAGGGTCTGAACACTGCTGATTGGCAGTCTTAATTGCTTGGATATGTTTTTATATCCTTTTCCTGTTTTATAAAGTTATATTATAATTATCTCCTTTGATAAATCTTTGCTTTCCCCATGGCTTGGAATCCAACAACATCCATGTAACACCAGTTGAAACATGTCGGGAGCCTCAGGCTTTTTATACACTCCCACTTGTACAAGCAAACATATCACAGGTGAAGATAACTACCTTTAGTAGCCATTTACACGTGTGTGTGGGTGTGTCAACATGTGTGCATTTTTTATGCCAAAACTTGTTTATTGTGTTTTTGTAATATGCTAAATCAATTATGCAATTAAATGTTCAGGATTAGAAGAACTGTTTCTAGTTTATGTAAAATTTTGATAAAGCGTCTTTTAGGCATTTTCTGTTGTCATGATTTAAAAGTCAAACACAATTGTTTGAAAATAAATGGCTTCACCCAACCACTAACCATGAGTGAAATAAAGCTTGTTGTATTATTTCTCATTCTTCTGCCACCCCCCACCACCACCACCACTAATTCTGCCAGGGTATGTAAACATTTTGAGCACTTCTGTATGGTGTTCAAAATCCAAATATCTGTTCATTATGTGAAAGAGGAAGATCTATCAAGTCAATAAAGGCAGAGAACACAAAATAATTTAATGTTACGTACAAAAAATATTTGCCTGCCAATCGTTGGAAGATAGTCTGATTAAGAAAAATCCTTCATCACTCAACAACTTGTTCAACAGATTTAAAAAAATATATTTTATGCAAAATATGAAAAGAGAATTGTAATCAAACTTCAACAACTAAAGAGCTTAATCCTAAATTTGTGTTATCTTTCTGATAACTTAAAGCCACCTACATTTTCTCTCAGTTCACAGCAGTTTTGATATTTAACTTTTTCATTCACTTTTCTTCTGCTCTGATCACAGGAAATAGAGTGCAGAAACACACACTAACAAACTCTAAATGTAACTGCTTCTACCATGCACAGACAGCTCTTTCCATCGCTCCTTGTTGCTGGCGATGACACTGGAAAGGTGGAGCCTCAGACCCGGCAAATCAATGGCTGTTAGAGAAAAGTTCATCTGTCCATCGTCACTGTTCCCATGGCGACTGCTGCTGTGTCTCTGGACCGACTCCACGGTGACTGAGCCACTTCCTGTCAGACTGGACAAGGTTGGGAGCAGATTTGTAGAAAGTTAAAATGAGATACTTTGCTCATAAACCAAGTGCATGCACCCCCCCCCCCCCCACACACCAAAAAAAGGCCCCCCCCCCCCCCCCATCTTGCTTCAGTATTGATGTTACAACACGTAGAATCAGGACTGACCACAGTGTTGTTAGTCAGAGATAATAGCGCGGCACACATGCTCGCATGAATGTGGAACTGTAGGATGGAGTGTTTGTGTGACTGTACAAACTAGAATAAATAAATGTGTGTAGCCTCTATAAGTTAAAAAGACACTACAAAAATGGGTTATATTATGTTCAGGAAGACAGCATCAATTACTACAGCAAGCTTTATTCTTTTCCAGAATAATATTTTGACCTAAAGGACTTAAAAGAGTCACTCAGTAAATGAAACATAACTGCAGTTTGTTTCCTGCATCGATAATATAAAACATCTTATTTCATACCATACCAGTTTATCACCTCTAAGTAGTAAGAGCTGCCACCAAGCAAGAAACAACATGAAGACCAATGAGCTCTCCACACGTCAAAGTCATAGTGAAGTAAATATTATCATTGAATTATGAAAACATATCAGCAGTCACAGCTGGTATCAGTGGGCTAAGGGGGCTTAGCACCCCCTTTATGGTATTTACAATAAAGATGTTAAAATAAACAACTTAAAAATAACCACTTAAAACATTTTAGAAATAATGTATCACATTTTGTTAAATTTACAACAAAACTGATGTCAAACCGCCTGGGAAAAATCCCAGGGTCGTTCCAAAGGGCTAAATTCTGACAGCCCCGTTCTGTTTCTGTTCTGTCATGGTTCAAAATGATTGACAGATGTCTTGCCACGCCCCCTCAGTTTGCGGCTCATTGGGGCTAATTTTGGTCAGCCCAGGGTCAGCCTGCGGCCACAGGGTTCTTTCAATGAGGATGGACGTACAATAACATGCCACCAGCGTAAATGTATGTGGGCGTGGTTTGGCGTAGACTGTATGATGGCGCCTGTGTTTGAACTCGCTACTGTCAGTTGTCACTGCTGCAAGCTGCCGTTATTTTTCTGCATTTTTAAATCTGTTTTCTCCTGTTTTCATTTTGTATTGGGGATGTTCAATGTTGGTCTATAATCGGCAAATGCTGCTGTCCATTCGGGGGTCCATGCAGAGGAGCTGCACCCCAACTTCAGGTGCTGGCTCACCACCGAGCAGCTTCCCTTCTGGCGATTTTTGCAACCCTGTGCTGGGTTCACATGGATCTCGGAGGAATAGAAAGCGAGACAGCCGGTGTCCAGGTGAAGCTCAGACTTTTTTGGAAGCGTGGGGTCATTGTCAAACAACTCCATAAAATTCTTATCACCTGTTGCTCTGACTTTTGGGCTGATGGGGATTTTACAAACACATCCCGACATGGCTGTGTAGACTACCTGGACCTCTGCGCTACTGCTACCTCTGGTCTGTTTATCCAGAAGCTCCGGACTCATCACTGTTTCTTCCTTCTGTTGATGGACAACGTGATGTTCGTGGATCTAACCCTCAGTTTCGCCATTGTCTGAAATGGGCTGCTGCGGCAAGTACCAGAGTAAAATAAAAATAGAGTAAAAATAATAGAGTAGAATAAATAAAAATAAAAACATAGATACTGTCAAATAATGTCACATTTGATGAAATCGTCCCCTGCTTATATGCTGCAAGTGTGACAGATTTATACTGTATTCTGTTATTAGAATGAAGTGAACACTGCATGTGGTGATTATGCTAGAATTATACTGTATTCTGTGATTAGAATAAAGTAATGTTAAAATTATGGTAGATTAAAAATATAGTCTGTGCTCAGAACAGTGGAAACTGTATGATGAAACTGAGATGGAGGGTAATGCATTACCTTATCTTGCTTAATCTATGAATCTCCATCTGGAATGTATGTAAAATCATTCCAGGACAGATGGGGAGTGCATTACAGTATCTTGATTTATGATTGACCAGAGGGAGCCTAAAAGCATTCCAGGATAAAGAAGGGAGCTGAGTAAACAGGTAAATGTTATTATTAAAACAAATACGAAGAAAAGTGTTGTAATAAAACTCGTGCTGGTAACTGATGGGCTGGGAGACAAGATGATACTCTCAATACCATAAAAGGACATGTTTTTAGAATGTTTTTTCATGTTCCGAGAAACACACAACCCTAAGGTGCAGAGGCCAATCAGAGCATGACACCAGAGAATGGCACGATGAAAAAACTGGTTCTAACCAGTAATCCATCTATAAAAACCAGACACAACTACGGGGAAGTGCTGAATGGACCGTGGAGTCGATGAGACAGGACAATATTGCTATTGCCCCAGGAGCCACTCAGGGGGATTTGGACAGCTCAGAAGAGACTTCTTTTTCATCAAGATAGGAATACTCCCTTGTTCAGCCGAGCTGACGCCAGACCAGACCCCTCAAGATTAGGACTGCTTTTGGGGGTTAAGGGTGATTCCTTCCAGGGCTCTGGAGGAGAGAATTCTCTTGCCATTATCCAAAGGGCTTCGGACAGAAATGGTGAGCGGCCCCTAATATATTGTCCAAATGCTAAATTTTATACAAAATAGCAGTGTTTTTTAACTGAGTGAAAAAGTTTAGACTAAGAAAGTATTATCCTGTTTCCAGCCCTCTTGAAAAGTTATCACATAAATTGTGTGCTGTCAAGGTTGATTGTAACAGTTTGGTCAGAAATCTGGTTGGCTCATGGGACAGTTTTAGGGGTTTTGGGGGATTTAATATGCTTTGGGGCTCCAAATGTGTAACAGTCCATTCCATTAAGAGGAGGCTTTTCTTTAGGGGACCATCTATGCTCTAGGATTCAAGATCTCCTAACACAGCTCATCGGAGCCAGGAAAGCATTACCTTTGTGGACTCCCCATACCCTGAACGTCCCATCTGACCAATAGGATATTTCCTAGAACCAGGCATGGACTCTTTATCATTGATCTTATTGAATAATTGAATTTAACCATCTATAGTGTGCTAATAATGTGGTACCCCTACAAATCATTAATTAAAGCAAAGCATAAAATGTAAAACTTTGGACCATCATTTCTACACTTCGTACTCATGGATTTGGAAAGCTTGGTTCAATTCTAACAAAAAGTAGAGATTTTTAAATGTTTCTCAGCTTTGATTAAACAGCATCCTGGAATCTTATGCCTAGATTCTAAAAAATACCAGATCAGTAACAATTGCACTTCTACAACCGCAGATGGGTGACCGTGAATGCAAGTTTCTCCATGGGCAACGAACCAACCATGGCTGCTAGGTTGGGCGAGTCATGGGGTGAAATAAGGGTGTGACTTGCAATTGAAGGTCGTTAACAAACTGGGTGAGTCACCTTTAACACAGCCTTAACCTAAGGTTACTCTGGGTACTCAAGTGCTAGATTAGTTTGATATACCCCTTGGAGGAGAGACTGCAGTGGGGTTTAGCCTAATCCTAGTGGTGACCCTTCTGGGTAGATTGAGAATACAAATAGCAGCAGATAACTAAATGGCTAACACTGTAGAATACAGACAGGATCAAAACAAATCACACAGTGTTAAAGGCCAGGGAATAAAAGTTGTTTTTTAAGTAAGACTTAAAAACAGTGAGAGTGGGAGCCTGCCTGACACGCAGTGGTAACTCATTCCACAATATTGGACTTGCAACAGAGAACACCCTGTCACCTCTGAGCTTACGACGGGTTCCTAGAACTGAAAGAAGCATCTGGTCTGCTGACCTCGGAGAGTGCAGTGGGACATATGGCTGCAGAAGATCAGTGAGATAAGAGGGGGCAGAACTGTTTAGTGATTTAAAAACATACATGAGTATTTTGAACTGGATTTGAAGGTGAATGGGTAGCCAGTGCAGGGAGGCCAAAACTGGGGTAATGTGCTCTCTATTGCCTGTACCAGTTCAAAATCGGGCTGCAGCATTTTGGACCAGTTGCAGTCATGCAAAGGAGGACTGACTGATTCCAAACAGAAGCACACTGCAGTAATCGGGCCTGGATATTATGAACACATGGATCACTGTCTCAAGATTATTTTTGGACAGTATGGGCTTCAGTTTAGAAAGTTGTCTCAACTGAAAAAAAAACAGGATTTAACAATCATGTGTACGTGACTGTTAAGTTTCAAGGAAGGATCCATTATTACTCCCAGATTTGTGACTCTTTTTTTTCAAGAACAGGGCTAGAGAAGAAAGGTCAATGCAGTGGTTCATGAACTTGCCATTGGGACGGAACAACATGACTTCAGATGTCTTCTCATTGAAACTCAAGAAGTTTAAAGCCATCTAGTCCCTGATGTCAGTCAGGCAGTCAAGAAGAAGTTGAATAGAGCGTGTTCCACTGTGCCTCAGGGGGAAGTAAATTTGACATTCATCAGCATAGAAATGAAAGGGTATGTTGTGTTTGCAGAAAATAGCACCTAGTGGCAGCAGGTATAAAGAAAAGAGAAGGGAACCAAGGATGGACCCCTGTGGTACCCCCATTGAAGCGCTGCCAATGCTGATCTAAAATCTTTGATGTTGACACAAAAGGTTCTGTCAGAGAGTTAGGATTTAAACCGTTTGAAGGCTGACCCTGTGATGCCCACTCACTGCTCCAGCCTAGAAATGAGGATCCCATGTTTGATGGTGTCAAAAGCAGATGTAAGGTCCAATATGACAAGCAGCACAGAATCACCTGCATCTGTGGCTAGGAAAATGTCATTAAAAAACTTCAGTAGAGCAGTTTCAGTGCTGTGGAGAGCTTTAAAGCCAGATTGGAGTAACTCTAAGATAGCATGATCCTCCAAGAAACATTTCAACTGGGACTCAACTATATTTTCCAGTAGTTTAGAGGCAAATGGGAGTCTGGAGACAGGCCTGAAGTTGGACACGACTGAGGGGTCAAGGTTAGGTTTTTTCAGGAGAGATTGGACAGCAGCATGTTTAAAAGTTTTTGGCACCACACCTAAGGATAAACTGCTATTCACAATAGCGAGAATAGAAGGGCCCAGAATAGGAAAAACCTCCTTTAGGAGTCGAGGGAGGACAAAGTCAAATGGGGAACCAGATGGCTTCATGCTGCACATTACCTGCTCCAGAGAAGACAGAGAGATGGGCTCAAAGTGGTCAAACACAGCTAAACATTGAGATGGGATGGACGGATCATGAGCTGGTAGGGAAATGAGTGCCCGTAACTTTTTCTAAAATGAAATAGAAAAAAATTCTCACACAGCTCAGTTGAAGCTTCCTGATGTTAAGGTTCACTGAGGTGAAGAACTGAGTTCAGGGTGCAGAAGATAACACCGGGGTTGTAAGAGTTGGAGACAATTATATCAGAGAAGTATTTAGATTTAGCAGCTTTAACTGCTTTCTGATAATGATGCCAACTCTCCCTTAGCATTTGAAAAGAAACCTGCAGCCTGTCTTTCCTCCACCTGTGCTCTGCTCTCCAGCACTGTTGCTGCTGTTACACTTGAATTTCCCATCCGTGGGACAATAAAGGCTGTTTCTATTCTATTCAATTCTATTCTGATGTCTAACGGCTTGAGTGACGTCATTCAGCCAAAGTTCTGATCTAAGTTTCGCTTTTCTGGTTTTAACAGAGCAACACGGTCCAGAACATTTAAACAGACAGAATGAAGCTGAAGTGTTAGCTACTCTGTTTTAAGAGACACCAAAGGCTGTTTGATCCTTTCAGAGTTAAAAACTTAAGTGAAATGAGCAGCAGTGAAATGGTTAATGGTGCGTGCGGTACGTACAGGAGCATACAGCTTAGCAGTAGGACAAGGAGGGGTGAAATCGAACAACACAGGCATGTGGTCTGAAAACACATTGTTGCCGATTTTCAAATGACAAACATAGACATCACGTGTTAACACGAGGTCCAGTGTGTGTCCGTGTTCTTGGGTGGGACCGTTTACCTGCTGAGTTAAATTAAAAGAGTCCAATAAGTCTAGAAAGTCCTTCACTAAGGACTTCTCCTGACAACAGACTTGAATATTAAAGCCCCCAATGATTAAAACGTGATCATATCTCAGTGTGATATCAGACTAAATATCAAAGAATTCACTTATGAAATCCTTGGATCAAGTGGGCCGGTAGACAAGTATGCACAGAACCGGAGGAGAATGACCAATTTCAAAAACACTCAGTTCAAAGGTGGAGCAGGAAACTGGGATGGACAACTGTTTACATGCAAAGTTTGGTTTAAAGACTGTTAATAATCCACCACTGCACCGGCCTGATGGCCACGGGGCATTAAAACACAGACAGTCCAGAGAAAATAATTCCACCAAGGCGCTAGACTCACCAACAGACATCCAAGTCTCTGTGACACAGAGAAAATCCAACTCTTCATCTTTAAAAAAAAGTCATTGAGGATAAAAGTCTTGTTGGAAACGGATCTTGCGTTGATCAGGTACAACCTGATAGGGTCCAACGCAGACACAGCCGTGGTAGGGGGAGCTCGCACCAGCGGCCACAGATTTTGAAGAATAGCACCTCCTGGTCAACTTGTGCCGTGCGCAGGTAAACTCCAGTTGTTTACATGGAATGAGTGTGCGGGTAGCTGGTCAACAGCAGGGCCCCTGAAGCACCACAGGTCAGATCCAGAATGAGACCCATAACTCTTGACAGAATAATCCACACTGTGCCTCAGTTTCACCAAAAAACCCCACACGTTTCCCTTGTCATATGTGACGTCTCCTCCGGGGAGAAAGGCCAGGGTCACATAGAAGGAATGTAGGAATCCCAGACAGAACTGGTGGAGGAGAATCCTGACCTCTGTAGAAAAACTCTGCAGGCAGTTCAGCAAAACTATGGAGTTCCAAAAGTGACCAAAAATCATACTGCAAATATGAGTCGATACACTGCACAAAGTAATGTAAAAATAACAAAAATAGAAAGAAAACGGAAAGCGATGGATGGCAAGCCCTACAAACCAGCACCATCTTGGAATTATCATATGGAAAACAACAAGAGGTTAATGATAATTCTGATGAAGCTGGGGATCTCCTCTGAAGAGACAGGAGTTTCTGTCTATAGCTGCACAAAGCTGGGTTATATGGAAGGTCTGGACAGAAAACATATTTTCTTAAAAAGTAACAAGACAGACTGTTTAGTTTGTTAAAAGGCGTATTGAAAATTCCTCAAACGTGGATAAAAGTTCTGTGGTGAGATGAGACTAAATCTGAACGTTTTGTCTATCATATGTGCGGATGTGGCTGAGTGGTTAGAGCAGTCGTTCTCCAATGCAAGAGTTGGGGTTTTGAATCCACCAGCAATCACATGCAAAAGTGTTCCAGGGCAAGACACTGAACCCCTCGTTGCCTCTGATGTGTGTCCCATCGGTGTATGAATGTGATAAAGCACCGATTAGTCTCTTTAGAATGATTTGTTCAATTAGCTTTGTAGAGATCTAGTAGTGCTGTATAAATGGGTAAATGAGGGCACAGATTGTAATGTAAAGCGCTTTGAGTATCTCGATAAGATACAGTAGAAAGGCGCTATATAAGTACAGTCCATTTACCATTCCATTTATCAAAAACAACATTGTGTCTGAGGCTCATCGACCATCTCTCATCATGCTAAGAACATCATCCACAGGGAAGCATGGTAGTGGCAACATTATGCTGTGGCAATACCATAGTTTTTATCTGCAAGGGCTATAAACCTGGTCAGAGTTAAAAAGAAGACAAATGGACAAAATAAGAGAAATTCTCGAGGGAAACCTGTTTGAGTCTTCCAAAAATTTCCGACTGGTCCTGGCTTTTTTTTTTCTTCCCCCATTTGTTTAAAAATATATTTAATCTTTAAAGTGGAAGTTGTATGAATTAAAATGAGCCCAAATTACTTTTATACTCCAGGCCATAAGGCAACAAATCAGATAAAATACAAAATAGGGTGAATACCATTGCATCCCACTGTATAGTCCCCTCATTGTGGTTGTTGTAATCAACGTACCTGGACCTTCTGTTTCCAGTCTCTATGGCCTTTCTGTCCTCATCTATCAGTGGACCAATCACCTTCTCTGTTGTGTCGATCAGAACAGTAAACGTTGGCTCCACGATAAAGTCGATGAATCCTGTAACCATAAAAGCCAGCATTTTGAAAATAAAGGTGTAGTATGGACATCAGTGGAAAAAGGTGAAAATACAGGAAGTGAACATGAACTCATACTCTTAAAAAAAAAAAAACTACGTATATATATATATATATATATATACACACATCTAATCTTCAAAAACAGGTTACTCAAGATGACAAGTCTTTATTTCATACCTATCTGTGACTGGGCGATCATGGTAGCCTTTCGATCACAGAGAGGAGAAAAAGGGAGGCCCAGTTCCACCTCTTTATCTCCCTGGAAAAGAAACATCAAAATAATTGTCACTCATTCATTATTTAACAACCAGCTTGTTTGTTTTATAAATCAGTTGTACTGCAAGTTTCTGTGGTCACAGACCATCATGGAACATGATGACAGCTGCAAGTATGGGAAGCTGTAATTCATATATTTAATGGGTGTTCTCTTGTCAGAGTCAGAGAGATTTATTTGTCATACACACCACACGTGATACATGAGGTGGGACAAAACTATGTACATAGGGTCCCAGTTACATCCAACATAAACACAAATTGTAAAGAAACCATTAGTAATTTAGTAAATAGTAGTACAGTAAAGTAAGTAAGTAAAGTAGAAAATTTAGTAAAGTAGTACATTTGTGGAGTGTCCATCAAAGTTAAGTCAGGTCCTCTGGGCGGGTTCTTCTTGTCTTTTCATCCAAAAGACTTCATCAGTCCGAAGAGCCACAACAAACTTAGTCTTATAAATAGCACCTTCACATAATGGGTCAACCAGTTTGATAATGCTCAGATGGTTTCTGGAGTCCGCCATCTCCCCCGCTGACTCGTTTGAGGCAGCTATAGGGGAACACCTCACCTCAGGAAGAGATCACCTCACTCTGAAAAACTACTGTGTTTTGGTGTTGAAACTGTCAAAATAAGATTCATCTATTCCCTTGGGAACAAACAGACATAATTTCACAAATATTGTCTCAGCTTACAAACTTCCCAAGCTGATACTAATGTAATACAAAAACTGTTGTGTTAACCTCATTAATCCAATATTAATTCATTTCCCATGAAACTGAGAGGTTGTTTTTCGAGGCTTTGTTCAACTAACCTTGGCATTTCTAAACACCCAAACTTTCTACTTATCGAAAAGGAGTACTTCTCTCAGACTTGTTCCTATGAAGATAAAAAGAAAAAGACTTTGTCCTCAATTTGACATTCGTTTTTTAGGTGATCTATGGTCAACAGTGACACCTCTGTTTTAAAATTGCATGTTTTAAGTTTACTACTAAAGATGTCATAGTTTGAATGTTTATTCATGAGAAATGTGTGTTTTAAGTAATCTTTCTTAAGATAATACATTTGTCTTATTTTCTCTTTAGAAGGAAACTTTTTAGGCAGAACAAGGATTTTAGATTGATTTACTAAGGCCCTTATGAAAAACAAGGCCAAGAGTTAGAACCACCTCTTCCTTGAGAGGTGGACCAATCCTCAGTCTGTTGTAGCAGACATGTAAGTTTCACTTTACACTGGACCTCAGAGAGGGAAGAAACACTTTCTTGGACTTCGAGAAACTTCAGAGGAAGACACATCCTCCTAGAGAGACATCCTAGTAAGAAAGAGGAGAGAGAGAAACACCCTTCTACAGATGTCTCAAGACGAGAGACAAAAAGAAAGGATGAAGTTCGCAGAACCCAGCATTTAACTGTTAGCATTCTCCGTGCATGCATGGGTTTTCTCCGGGTGCTCCGGTTTCCTCCCACAGATCAAAAACATGTTAGGCTGATTGGTAACTCTAAATTGTCCCTAGGTGTGAGTGAGAGAGTGAATGGTTGTTTGTCTCGTTTGTCTCTATGTGTCCCTGTGATGGATTTGCGACCTGTCCAGGGTGTACCCCGCCCCTCGCACAGTGATTGCTGGACATGGGCACCGGCAACCCCCGTGACCCAAAATGGAAGAAGCGGGTAAAGATAATGGATGGATGGAACTTCAAATGCTTAAATGGACTTGTACCCAAACCATTAAGCAATTATACAGAAACTGCAGGGCTACAGCAGTTCTACCAGAGTGTCTTTAAATGGTGACTGTAAGGTTCCTTTTTGTAGAACCCTTTTTGTTCAAAGTGCATTCTCTGTGAGAGGATCCACAGTTTTGAACTCATGCTGTCAATGTAAAGTCTTTAACCAGTTTCAATATGTTTAAAAAACAAACGTTTTAACCCATTTGTTTTATGCGTATATGACTCATCTAGTTTAGAAAAATCCTTTAGTTTTGAGATTTGACCTTCCATTTTGTCTAAACAAACTTAAATGAGTGCTTCACCTCTGCTGCACCTCTGCGTAACAGAAGAACGCACAGAGAATGCACCTGCTTCATTGTCCCTATGGGACAGCACTGCCCCCTATTGGTGCGGCAAGGTATAATCTGCTTCACCTCTGTGAATTTTCAACGTGCATTATGACCAGTTAGAAAGCAGAAATGTGTCACACATTCATTCAATATATTAGACAGTCTGTAGAATATTAGCATGTGTAGCACATGTGTAATCAAACATGTATATTGGCGATATAAAGAGACATCAATGGCCATGCACAAACCACCTACTTCATATGTTGTAAATGACACAGCGCCCCCAGAGGTGAACCAGAGCACTACACTGCCTCACCCCGTATTGTTTGAACAGGCAATGTGTAAATTCCGCAATTTTGACCACTGAAGTGTTGAAATAATCCAGAAAACAGTTTTATAAAACATTTTTATAGAACAGTCAAGTGGTCAAATATATTTTATCTGATCATTGTCAGTATTTTACTTGTCATGATGACAGGAAAGGCACTGCCTCACTTGCCTCCCCTGACTGCATGTCACTGGTTGACACCCACTGGTTGACCCATTATGTGAAGGTGCTATTTATAAGACTGAGTTTGTTGTGGCTCCTCAGACTGAAGAAGTCTTTTGAATGAAAGAAGAAATGTTTCAACAAAAATAATCCATCCAGAGGACCTGACTTAACTTTGTTGGATTTTTCTACCTGGATTATTGAGCATGAATCAAGATATTGTGGAGTGTGTGTGTATAAAATTGTTGATTTTCCACACAAGCAATTACTTGCTGAGGAACTAGGTTTAAGTGCTTCAGTGAGACATTATTCGGTTCTTTATTGTCTTGTTTTTCATGAGTCGTGATGCAGTGCATCAGTGCAATACAGACATGTTCCTGTTTTTAGTATTTTACCTCGTTTCGTAATGTAGCTTGTTTTTACTTTGTTTTATATTACTACTTTTATTTACCTTTCATTTTATATGCATTTTATGGCTGTTTATTGTTGTGTGGTTTTGTCTAAATCAGGTCTCTCTTGTAAATGAGTCCTTGTGACTCAATAAGACTAACCTGTAGAAATAAAGCTTGTATTTTCTGTGTTGTAATTCTTTTAGTCCAAGAAAAAGATACCTTTCTATTTAACTTTGTATCTATTTATTACCCTTTTATTTATTTATTTACTGCTTGTACGACAGTGTTTGGGTGTATGGGCGACTGCAACAAAGTAAAGATTCACCACAATCTGCTGCTTCCTTAGATAACTTTTACTAATTGGCTTTTATAATATATGTGAATGTTTCTGTTCAGTGCCCTGAGATGATCTTTGTTGTGACTTGGCATGTTATAAATAAACTGAATTGAATTGTTTACAGTTAATGAAAATAAGTGTACAATATGACATCTTTTTAAAAAAAAATTAAATGTTAACAAATCCTACAGCTCTTGTTTTGCTACAGTTTAACCACTAGTAATAGTTTGTTTTTCTGTCACTATTATAGTAAAAAAAAAGCTACTTGGCATTTATATAATTTTCCCTTTCATGAACTGTGACCCTTGTACTAAGATACGGTATATATCAAACCATAACTTCATCTTTGCACCCAACCCAATGCTGCTGATCTCATGCTGCTGATTATTTCATGCTGCTGTATTCATTCATTCGTACTCATCCACCAACAAAGACTCATGTTTGTGCTGCTGTTGTTCGGTGTATTGTTTGGCACTAATAGTGACTAGCATATTTCTTAGTGTATATCTTAGATTCTTATTTACTGTTTCTTTTTACACTTTATGTTTTTGCTATTGTTGGATGTAACTGGGACCCTGTGTACACAATTTCATTCCACCTCATGTACCACATGTGATGCAAATGACAATAAAGAACTGTGACTTGACTTGACTTGAACCAATGGTGTGTTTAGCCTCAACTATGATAAAAATATAACAAAAGATATTAGAAATATATATTTAAAAAAAAAATTGCAATGGTTAACAAGGCTGTTTGTTAAATGACTGCATACAAATTCATATTATAATCATCAGGGTCATGAGTTTCTGCAACTTTCATTTTGTGGGTCAACAGCTGAAAAGTTTGGGAACCACAAACTTAACAAATGTACCAACCAGTATTTAATCTAATGTTTCATTTGTTTGATATTTTGTGTTGTAAATAGTTTATCATAAAGACAACCTAAAGGAGCCTCCAGTCCTCTGACTTATCCAGGTTTTTGAGGACCAGCTTGAGTGTTGTATATTTTGGGGTTTGTGTTAGAGATATCACTCATTTCTAACCCGAGCCCTAAGCCCGGCCCCACCCGACCCGGATTAGGGCCAGGCCATAATAATGTGCGGGCCGGGTCGGTGTCAGGCTTTTGATTGCATCAGCGGAAGCGTGTGGCTGACGATCTAATTATATGGTAACGTGGCTTGCCATACTATCACTAGCTGCACACAGCCATCTGACCATCCGCTGACTGGCCTTGAAAGAGGTAAACAGTTCAGTTAAGCTTCAGATGGACTATTGCCAGTGATCCATCAGCCCAAATGGACGTTCATTCAGCCACTGCACTCAGTGGACGTGCACGGCTGACGACCCAAACAGGTGAGATCACAAAATAGCCGACATGTTGGAGCAGGGTCCCTGTCTGAATAATGCAGAATGCAGGCAGAAGCAGGGGCACTTTGACGGCCATGAAATGACAAACACCCCCTCAGATTCGATCTTCTGCCCCCTTAGCTGTGTGCGTTTGCCGACCGTTAATAAATATGTAAGCAGTCAAAGCTTAATTAAAAATGTTGTGGGTTTTTTGAGTTTGAACCTATAATTACAGTTAATTCATCGAGTCGAGTGGGGTTTGGAAATGATGGCTATGGACTGGGGCCGGGCCGGGTCAGGTTGGATTTTTTGGGCCCAAATACAACTCTAGTTTGTGTGAGATAATCAGTGACAAACTGGACTTGGAGACAGTATTTTGTTGAACAGGAACCTTACACATGTAGAAATATAGTTTAGTACCTGTCTGAAGAACTCTTCCATCAGACTATGAGTCCAGTGGTAGTGCAGCGGCCAGGCTTTTGCAGGATGGCTGATGTCTGCGGCGTGAAGCATCAGAGACAAGACTTTCACCTTGTCGACACTGAAAGGAAACAACAAAGCAGTTCCAGTACAATACAAAACTCAAAGAATAAAGCCAAAGCAACAAAGAGCACAGCAGAGACTAAAATAAATGCAGGACTGCATGGAGAGGCTGCCCTACAACAGCAACCATCTTTCAAACATGCTGTTGTAGGGCAGCCTCTCCATGCAACACGTGTTTTTATTGTAGACTGTACAGTCTGCATCAGAAACACAAGCCACATCAGCTCGCTGACAAGCTGATAACAGTGTCTTCCCTAAAATCTCATCCAAGCATGAGGCGACAAGCGTGACAGCTGCCCACCCCCAACTAACACCTCCTCATCTCTGAAAGGGCTTGGCAAGCAGGGAGGGGGAAACTGTAATGGTCCAGTCAGTGCCGGTCCTGTGAAAGCCCCTGCAGGGACACTGCTCCATCTGGTAGCCTGCAGGACCTTATGTTGGGCCGTTACACCAAACACCCACTGTTGATTTGGTGTGTCCATCAGATGGACCAGTCTCACACAAGTCTCCCAAGAAGCAGGGCTCGTGAGGTTTTTTTTTTTTTCAAATATGGAAAGAATTTAAATTTGGAAGTTTGATTATTGATTAGACAATTTTGTGAACGGAATGAGAAATATTTGCTGCAAGTCGAGAGGGAGAACTAAGAAGACATTTTGTTCCTCAGCCAGTAGGGCTGAGTACCGAACCGCGTTTATTCAGCACAAAAAAAGGAATTGTCCAGATGACCTGACTGAAAAATGTTGGATATTTATGTTAATGTTTTCCTCACATGCGACTCTGACCCTGATGTGAGGAGGGCAGACAAAAGAAAAGCGAGATGGGGGTCACAGGACAGTCACAAACTTTGTTGTTAAAAGTTTGCTGCCTTTTTCTACAGTGGAGGCTGCAGTATCTAAAAAAGTTAAGTCTGGTCCTCTGGACATTCAAAAGACAAAACAAAGCAACAAAAAAAAATGTAGAAACGTTTCATCTTTCATCCGTAAGACTTCTTCAGTCTTACTTGTCGTACTGTAGCTGTGACTGTTGGAGTGTAGTTGGTGACTCAAAATTGAGAAAAATACAACATTTTTCAGTTGTCTCCATTCTGAGTGTTTGCAGACAGTATTTTGCACACCCAATTTTCTGATATTACTCTTTATTTTCATATGCATAGCTTGCAAGCCTGACTGTGCTCATCTCATTGTCCAACTTGACCCACAATGTAACTTTAGCTCTTTTTGCACCTGCCTTCATTACTGCACCCACATTTATGATTTAATCTACCAGAGTACACTTTTGAAATGAAGACATATTAGAACCAGTTATAACAATAACTAATATTTATTAGTGGAGTGTTTGGACATGGACTTTCAGACTTGAGTCCTAGATATCTTTAGTCAGAGGAGAGCACTTGTTTACATGTTAAAATTGTACAGGAAGGGCTTTGGTCCGAGAGTAACTTCAACTGGGGGTTAGCTTCCTTTATTGCCAGGACGACCAGTTCTTGTGAGTACGCACAGGTCTCTTCTTTGATGAGATTCCTCTCCGGAGACTAGCGTCTAGTCTAACTATATCATATAGTGAGTATGTCAGGTTGGTCCAGGGGAGCGGGGTAGAAAGAAACTTCCTGTATCAGAACAGAAAGCGAGGGGTAGTTGAGACGCGGTGTCTCTGAGGACCTTGGACAGCTCTAGCAATGTAGAATTATGGAAACTCAAAACTGGTGGAGATGCCCCAAAAAACTTTGATTATTTTGAGAAAAAAAAATCCCAAATTTCCTAAAAAATTATACAATTTAAGGGACAAGGCTGTAAGCTTCTGTGACACATGCAATAAAATACAGAGCCCTACAGTCACAGCACAGTGAGATACTGGCACAACCTGCAAGAAGAGTAAAAGGAGAAATGGACAGACAGGCGTCAAGCATTTAATTAGAAAGCATCCTGGATGTCTCTATCTTGAGGTTTTCCAGGCATATAGCCCTGAGAGGAGACCATTGGGCAGGAGGATTATGTGCCCGCTCTGGCCTGGGAATGCTTTCATATCTGCCAGGAGGAGCTGGGGAGTGTTGGGGAGAGGGAGGTCTGAGTTTCCCTTCTGTACATGTTACCTCTGTGAAACAGCCATGGATAGGTGAGAAACCTGAATGGATGAATGGATGGATGGATGGATGGATGGATGGATGGATGGATGGATGGATGGATGGATAGATGGATGGATGGCATACCTAAAACTAAAGCGAACACAACACACACACACCTTTTTTTAGATTGGGATTTGATAAGATAAAGATAGGAGTGAGTAATAGCCAGCCAATGGAGCTGGTTTCTAGAATTATCATCTCTTTGTCAGAACACAGAGAAGAGATATTTAGAAAGTATGAACACACATCTTAAGATCTGAATAATTTGGTTTATATTTCTAATTTTACTGATTATTACTAGAGAAAGAAAGCCGTGAGGTCACAACTGCGGTACTGACCCATTTGTTTGTGTCAGGGTGTTCCTCATGGTCTTAATCTGCTGGAAGTGGCAGGACATGTCTGTGGACATCACCATCTCTATCACCAGAGACCTCAGTTCCCTGTCAATAATAAATTCACAAAAGTATCAAGGACCACATAGGAAGACAAATATAAATAATCTGTCATCTATAAATAATTGAGGAGCAGGAAAACACAAACTAAGGGTTGGTTACTCATGTAATTAAAAAGGTAATTATGGAGAGAAAATATTTTAAATTTAACTGGAATGCCATCTTACAAAAAAATACATATATACATATATATATATATATATATATATATATATATATATATACATACATATA